TTCAGTTTTATTTCAATAATTTGCTTGCGTGTAGGGGTCTTTAGCAGTGGGAGGAAACCAGAGGACCTGGATAAAACCCACGAGATTGGACAGACGACCCTACTCCTTGTCACATTTAACCAGGGAATCGAAACCACGCCAGTTGACTCAATGACTGACCTTATTATACAGCGTGCACATGCTAACCATTCAACCATCCACCCCACCCCCCAACACTCATTTTGAGAGGTACATTATCAAGAATATGTTTTTGGAAACGTTGGTCATTAATAAGCAGTAACAGTATTCCATAGAACTGTGTCCTGTCTTTTCTATAATGAATTTGATTAATGAAATTTAATGAGAAACTTGCACACAAAAGTCAATGAATGAATAATTGTTAAATACAATATAATGTACAAATTAAATATAATTACACATAGTCCACTAGTTCGGTTTATTAATGACTAACTAACAGTTAATTAATTTATTTTAATAATCATGAAAGTAGAATAAACATATGGCACAAAATATCCATTTCAATTAAATAGAAACTGACATTCTTAGAAATAGTTTATACTATAGTTCCATTATTATCATTTGGGCACTTAAACATACATTATGTAAAAGCTAAATCAGCCTATTGCAGGTCTTTCTTGAGGCCTGAAATGTTTTCTAAATTTTTAATTACACATTAATTAATATATCAAGGCCATAATCAACTCTCGATGGCATCAGATTTCCCCAATATTAAATAGATTAGAACAGTTCTGCCATATTTTGATTTAATTTAAAAATGGAGCGAGACTTAGCTTTGAACAACCAGTACGGTGGTTGAAATTATTGCACATGTCTTGTCAACCCTTCAAAGGCTAATATCTTAGCTCGCAATAGAGTAATTTGAATGAAATTTTCAAATTATTCATTTTACATGATCTATTTTCGAACTATTATAGCAAGAATGGCTAGGTCTGTATCTAAATCTTACATAATGTATCTTTAATTTGAGTTGATAAATTAAAGTTTTTATGAGACAATTTCCGTAGAAGTTTTTCTCCACGTAAATAACATAATAAAGTCAATCATATATCAGAGAATCTTCAAGTTCCTTAATGTTTTTTAAACATAATTTTCATAAATATTTAATAAATATAATCTCTAAAACCACACCGGTTGCTACACTATGTGAATCTAACTTTTAAATAAAACAAGAATATTTTTCTCTTCAGCAAAAAAATAAACTTATCTTAACAAAATACACAGTAATATCTAGCCCTATATACTGTATATGAAATAATAAAGCCATTTATGTCATTCTTCTTCTTCTTTAATATCGTTGCCAAAATTTACAAATAATTCCATTTATGAGATCGTTGGAAACATTCACACATTATAACATTAGCAAAAGACAGGCCTCGAGCCAATAAAACATCTTCTTCGGTCACTTGCTTATTTTCAAATACAAGTTTCAATTTCATTATTCCAGTATGGTACTAAAAATATGCAATTCATTTAAATAGATGAGTTCGAAATGAAATGAAATGAAATGGGGTTTAACGTCTTACTGTTCTGCTCCTATACTGGGCTAATGAAGACGGGCATATGCCATACAGTGTGCTATGAGGGAAATTTTGCCCGAGCAGCGGCACTATCGCCTACTATTACATGTATATCAAATTCCAACTGCCAAGGGATCTTTTACGTGCATTCCAATGTAGATGAGTTCGAACGGAATAAAACTAGTCGCTTCATGAGAGAAGTCTGGAATGGCTACTTACCACTCATTGATTTCTAATTTCATTTAAACAGAATTTTTTCTTTTTGATTTTTCTCACATATTTTGCCAAACCATCCTCTCCAAAAAGGATGATAGCAAAATTTAGTTAAAGAAAACAAATTATATTTTTATGGTCATTGGGTTAGGGCCGTCTAATGCTAAATATCATATACTACATAGATAAAGTATACATGTACCTTAGATTTAGTGAATACAAAATAATGCTTTACATAAACAAAAATAAACAATTCTACTAAATTCAATTAATTAGATGTTCATTTGTAAAAATACCTCCATACATGTATAATATTTAATGAGATACACAGGTAATAAATACCTCCATGATACTTCAGATGTTATTTTACAATGTAATAAACATTAAAGATCACACACACTTACATGTAGTTTGTCAAATATCATTTGATTACCATATTGATTATCGCACATGGTCGAACTCAACTCTTAAAATTACTTATTTCAGTAAAACCAAAAAATAAGAAAGCTTCAATCCTTTTTCGTAGCAAAGTGACTCAATTCAATAGAATATTGTGACCGTAATTTTTTTTCTCAATATTTTATACATTGTTTTATTGAACTATCAAATAACAACATGTTGAAGGTAACTTTCAATCATTTATCTGCTAGTGGGCCTTTAATCAATAGTAAATATGTTTAAGGCCTACTCACACCAAGATTGCCATGAAGTTTTGTGTAATCCAGTGTGAGAACATCTATGACTGGAAATCAGTTACATTGTGTGCCAAATGTTTTTTTTTTCACATGAAATCAGATGGTGAGCGAAAAAATATCTTGGGAGTGTAGTGGCCATAAATATATTTACTGGATTTGTTCACGATCAACACAGACATTACTGAAAATAATACAATTGTCAACATCTCATTCATAATAACATTAATCAATAAAATCTCTCAGTCACAACATTCTTTATATACATGTATATTTCATACATATTGTACGATCAGTTTTCCATGTCCAATTTCATTTTCTCTTTATTTGTAATACCTTTATATATTTATATATACAATCTACAATAAATAGCACAAATCTGTTTCTTCTATTGTCCACTCATTCAATCGGTTGTTTATATATATAAGACCTAATGACCACTGCCAACTTTAGCCATAATTGAAAATATATTATATAAATTTGATGTATAACAACAAGCCATTAGCTGATGTAAAAAGCCATTAGCTGATGTAAAAAGCCATTAGTAGACTGACGTTACCCACCTCAATAACCAGAGAAATAGATGACACTCCACTTATTACATGTACTTACGCATTGAGCTTTTTATAGAGAGAAAAATGGGGTTTAACGTAAACTCAACACAAAATAGGTTATTTTGGGACTAACATATGGTTCAATTTTATTTCAATAATTCGCTTGCGTGTAGGGGTCTTTAGCAGTGAGAGGAAACCGGAGGACTCGAGAAAACCTGCAAGGTTGGACAGGCGACCTACTCCTCGTCATGTACAACCAGGGGAATCGAAACCATGCCAGCTGACTCAATGACAGACCTTATGATAACCATTCGGCCATCCAACCCCCTCTTTTTATAGAGTATCTGGAATCAAATTGTTTATCACTCTGCATAACATAGCTGAAAATACTTATCATCGAACTTAGTCAAGGTACATGTATTAATTGAACTTAGTCAAGGTATATGTATTGATTCACTGATAATTGATTTTCTTTGAGTGTCATTTAGTATTTGAACAGTAAAACACTAAAAACTTACGTATGCAGAAAATGCTCATCATTGAACTGCGCCAAGGCCCTAACCTAAGGAAAAACTACACCAAGTTTGAACATTTTAGTCCAATTAGAAGTAGACTTATTGTATGACAAACACAGTGTGACAGACAGATGGACAGACAAATCCATTTTAATAGTGCCCTGGGCCCTTATTCACGAAAACTTAAACTAAGATACAATCGAAATTTTAAGAAATACTGCAATTCGATTGGCTGACCAGTAAAATCAATTTGCATATATCCAATTTGCATATTGGTCAGCCAATCGAATTGCAGTATTTCTTAAAATTTCGATTGTATCTTAGTTTAAGTTTTTCGTGAATAAGGGCCCTGGTTTCTTAGATAGGTGAAGGTCAAAAAGAAATTCCTTAAGCATGGAAGACAAAGATTTTCGATACACTTTTCAATGCCCAAGGCTACATATATTGAACAATAATTAGCTGCAAAAATTCATATTTAACAACAATTTTAAATATAGAATAGGTGGATCAAAGATTTTAATAATACACAAGCATCTCAAGAAATATTAAATTGTAATAAACAAAAATAAATCTTCCGTGGGTCCATACATAAACCTGAAAACCAGAGCCCTCGTTTCAATCATATCTACCGATCATGACTTATCGACTTAAAGAGCGCATCTACTGATCATGACTGATCGACTTAAAGAGCATATCTACCGGTCATGAATGATCGATTTAAAGAGCGTATCTACCGATCATGACTGATCGACTTAAGAGATTATCTACCGGTCATGACTGATCAACTTATACTTTTCAGTCCATTTACATGTAATAAAATTAGAATTTTAAATAATATAACCTCAAAACACAATAAATATATTATAATATATTGGGATATTCTTTGGAAAAATATATTTCTAATCCAGAGTAAATACAATACACAAATGATCGTCCGACTGGCAAATTTTTTAATTGAAAGAATTGTCAATAAACCATGGTCAAGAATTAGTTACTGTTATTATATATAGAATATTCAAACATTTTTATAAATCTGTTAATAATTGAATATCTGAAAAATATCTTATAACATTATGCAATGGATCCAACTTTCAAAATCTTTTTTCTTAATTCATAACTTTTGTGAGTCAGAATGTTTATGTATGGCCCCACAGAATCTGGATAACCTATTTTATGTATGCAGCCCAAATATTGATAAAACATTTGTACACAACATCAATACAACTAAACTTTCGTTTCATGTAGATGTTTTATATATTTAACACTAAAACCAAATAGATGAACAATAATATAATAAATATCCTATAATATATAAATATGAAGGCACGGTGATGAGTCATTCAATGACGCAGCAAAAAAGGTTTTTTTATGAACAAGTCATACTTGAGCTTGAAAAACAAAGAATCATAAAATTATTGCATGGTTTTAAATTTGAAATTACATTATTACTGTTTGTAGTACAAGTTATAGGAATTCATTAAATGGAAATTTTGTAAATTGTGTAAAATTTACCCCTATACATGGTAAGATTGAAAAAACGTAAATGTTGGGGTTAAACTCAGTGTAAATTAAGTTCACATAGATTTCATGCAAGAAAGCTGTGTGTAATAACCGTATACACCTTCACAATGCCTTCTTAATAAATTCTCTTCCCAAAAGCTGATTAAAATTAAAACCAAATGCACTCACAATTACGACACAAGTTAATGCGAGAGAGAGAGAAATGGGGTTTAACGTTCACTTGACACAATCTAGGTCATTTTAGGACTTACATATGGTTCAATTTTATTTCAATAATTCGCTTGCACGTAGGGGTCTTTATCAGTGGGAGGAAGCCGGAGGACCCGGAGAAAACCAACGAGGTACACGTTAATGCATCTGTGGACATGTATATCATTAATAGGACCAGTGAATTGTTACATGTATTATCAAAGTATCTGATTCTTTGTTTTTAACAATTTCAGCTTTTAATATTTACAAATATTGCATCATATTTTAAAGTATTAGTATATATTATTATATCTTCTTTGATTGGCATTTAGTAATTGAACAATTTTGTGGATACACAATTACTCAGTTTAATAGTAATAGCTTAGTATTAAACTGAGTAATTGTGTATCCACAAAATTACGCAGTTCAATACTAATAGCTTATAATCAGTATTAAACTGAGTAATTGTGTATCCATAAAATTGTACCTTGTGTTATATTATTATAGTACATTATCTACATCTGAAACAATGTACATGTATATATAAAAAGATCCTTATATGTTTTGACTGGCAGTACTGTTTAGCTTTACCCATAGAAATATTAATTTGGACCAAATATCAATATTTTCTTGGTTACTAAGGTTACGAGGTAATATTTTCTATGGGTAGAGTGTTTGAGCTTTCAGACCTATATCTGTGTTATTGTTTAAAATGAACCCCTCTCAAGTATTTTTTTTGTCTATACACGTACTAAAAGGTTTACAAATGAAGGATTGCGAATGTATGAATTGTGATGAAGGTACAGGCATGAATTGTGATGGTATTTAAAATTTAATGTTATAGTTTGAACAAATACCATCAATATTCATATCTGTACACATTCATGTACCTTCATCACAAATCATACCTTCACAATCCTTCATATCTTGTCTTTTAGCATAGACAGAAAATAAATCTGTTATCACCACACCATACTGTTACGTTACATGTATATGCATTAATGAGAAAAAGGGATTTTAAAATTTCATACTTTATAAATTATGAATCACTTGTAAAGGTAGGAGGTAGACTTGAAAGTATTTTACATTTAATAAATTCATCCGATAATACAAAAACTGAAAGGATCAAAATTCAAATGAAATTTCTCAATCTAAAGTTGACGTAATGTACATGAGGATTGTGAGGAATTATTGAAGCGTATATCATGATGAATAATTTTAAACTATTTATTGAGCTACTATTTTGCATTGTTACGACTGACTATTATGATTTAAACTGTTGCATTGACATACATTTTAATGACTTGCTTTACAGTTGAACGGTTGCTTTCATGTACATATAACATGTGACCTGTAATAGCGAAATGTATATCCAACACCCAACCTTTTATTACATGTAGATGATGACCTACTTAAACTGACAATTACAAGTTACACGTATTAAAAGAGGATAACAAGCTGAAATATCGCAGGAATGAAAATAACTCTGAGTCTCTGGGCACTGTTTCCCGAAATCTTAACTAAAGATAAAATCAAAATTTTAATAGATACTTCACATTTGATTGGCTAAGTACAAAAATCAATCTAATATTATCCAATCAAATTAGTAAAATTTGGATTTTATCTTAATTAAAATTTCGTAAAACAGGCCCCTGGCATCTAAAATCTTCTTAATGAAAACCTCCAGCATGCACCAACAACCCTGGCATCAAATATCAAACTTCCAGCATGCACCAACAACAGTCTTCATCTTTTATATTGTCAATAAGCACTTAATTAAAAAAAATAAAACCAGTATGCAATGAGAAACGGACATCCTTAAAACCAAGTTGTTTCTTCTTCATCACCCGGACATTTGGACTTGGCTATCAACATATTATGATGCATGACAGACTGGCGATCAGGTTCGACATTATGAGTTACGAACATATACAAATAATTACATATTGATAAACCGGAACTAAACGGCATAAATCGAGCACTTGTTTTAGGATCTACACGTAAGGCGTCTATCACAATCCCCGTGTAGGCATCTTCTACAGGAATGGGAGTATGATAACGACATTCGTCCACAACCTTTGCGATAACATCCTGAGACATGATATAACCTGTACCGCTAGCGTACGGAGGATAGGTATTAGCCGCATAATCGTCTTTCGAGACTTTCCATTTACTAAAATTATTTCGTATAACTTCTCGTTTATCCACTTCTAAAAATATTTTGCCAACGTACAGATTTGTTGTCTTTGTGTTGTGAGTTGTTAGAAACCTGTAAACAAGTTTCGTATTTACAAAACAGTCATCGTCTGTTTTCATAACATATTCTAGAGGACAATAGGTCCGACTCCACGTAAACGAATTAAAAACTTTGTAGGTGAGATTTCTATAAGAATCTATGTAGCTGCCATGAAGAATATCCTGATAGTGAGCTTTTTCTCGCGCCACCGATTCCATCATGCTTTGATTATTACTGGCACCTATCAAAAACACACACTGCCACGAATCCTTCGAATGCTCTGAAGCATAAGGATTACACCATGTTTTTCTGATAGCTGTTCTGCGATCTATGTTCCCAGGTGCTGTGGTAATAAGGACTAGAAATTTAGCGGTGGCGACACATTTGGGCATATCTGATGGCTTTCTATCATACTCACCAGGATTCCATATTGGTATCCGCATCTGTGTCTTGCCAGTCAACTGGTCATCACTGGTAATTGTTTGTAAATTAGAATCTCTAGCCTTAAATTTCACTCGTTTAGCGCGACTATTTTGAAGATCGAGAGAAGCTCGTTTCCGGGCGATGTGCATTTTTCGATCAACTTGGTAGAGTATAACGCTGTATGTGATAATAAAAGCGATAACAATGAGGATGAGGCTGCCCAGAGATATTTGTAATAAATCTCTTCGCGTTAAACGTTTTGGTGCCATCACATTAAGCACCAGTACCTCGACAAACACATCTGGTTTACCACTGGAACCACCAAGCTTAAAAAGCTTCAGTAAGTTCTTTCTCAGCATGATGCTGAAATTAACCTCCAGTCATAAAATTGCATTCTGAAAAAAACAAAATTACACAATTCTATATTTGTCTGGATTAACTTACATCTATGACATTTAGTTCTTAAAGCCGCATGATATAAGATTTAGATAAAGATCTGGTCGTTCTTGCTATAAAAGGTCGAAAATAGGTAATGAATATAGAAAATTTCATTTAAATTACTTTATTCTGTGCAAGTAACGTTGCTACGAAAGGGAGAGAGAAATGGGTTTTAACGTCCACTTAACACAAATTAGGTCATTTCGGGACTAACATATGGTTCAATTCCTTGCGTGTAGGGGTATTTAGCAGTGGGAGGAAATTGGAGGACTCAGAGAAAATCCACGCGGTTGGAACATTGCTAAGATAATAATTAATCTATGTCAAAACTTCAAACAGTGATAATGTCTGTCAGAATAAAGTAATTTGAATAAAATTTTCAATATATTAATTTTGAATAATCTATTTTGGAACTATTATAGCAAGAAAAGCCAGCTCTTTATCTAAATCTTACATGTAATGCATCTTTAACTGAGATGAGAGAGAGAAATGGAGTTTAACGTTCGCTCAACACAAACTAGGACATTTCAGGATAAACATACAATACAGTACCGGTATGTACAATGTTTTTTTCAATAATTCCCTTAGGCGTTGGGGTCTTTAGCAATGGGGGGAAAGAGAGAGAGAGAGAAATGGGGTTTAACGTCCACTTGACACAAACTAGGTCATTTTGGGACTAACATATGGTTTAATTTTATTTCCATAATTCGCTTGCGCGTAGGGATCTTTAGCAGTGGGAGGAAACCGGAGGACCTGGAGAAAACCCACGAGGTTGGACAGGCGACCCTACTCCTTGTCACGTACAACCGGGGAATCGAAACAATGCCAGTTGACTCAAGACAGACTTTATGTATGATACAGGGAGCATGTGCTAACCATTCCGCCATCCACCCCCCCCAGCAATGGGGGGAAACCGGAGGAAATGAAATGAAAACCCATGAGGCCGACAGACACCCAACTACAAACTTCTGATCAAAACCAGGCCACTTAACCCAATGAAAGACCTTATGATCTAAAGTGCACTTGACCACCTCATGCCAAAACATATATGAAGAAATTGTGAATATAATTTAACCGAGATTTAAATAATATGAAGAAAGTGTCAATATAGTCTGTATGACGTCAAGACAAGGTAACAGATGTATAGAACACAGAATCGGTCATAGGCCTATAAATTAAGTTTCACAGACCTAATTTAAATAATTCATTAATCAATATTCATACGGTATTAATTTCCTGTCATTGATTTCATTTTATGAATGAATACAATTAAAAGAAAATCGTATATATATATATATATATATATATATATATATATATATGGTCATTAAATATTGAAAATAGATGGATTAATTTACTTTTAAAATACATGTAGTGCATGTACATGTACGTTCACTATGTTCTTGTCTAAAATACATGCCTCTATACTACTGGATCATTCAATATGATGTATCTCCATGTCTAGTATTACACAATATCCACATGTACAGAAAAATAATCAGTTCCTTTCTTGATGTACATTTGTAAATATCTGGGAAGTTAAATGGATTTTGACTTTAATATAACATTAAAATACTGTTACCGGTACAAGTTGTGTTTACATGTACGAGTCGCAAAACTTGAGGATTATTTAAAGGTTCGAGTTGGTGTCTTGTCACTTTTTTTTGACAAAAAATATGGTCCAAAAATTGCATTCGGAATATTATTTGACATCAAAACTGTACATTGAATTGTCATAAAAAGTGTTATTTTCCCTGTAAACATCAAAAATCAGTTTCAAAATTGTTGATTTCATTATTAAACAATATTGCCTTATTTGTTGCGGTGGGTAGAAAGAACGCATTCAAAAACTAATCAAAATTATGAAATCTGATTTTTGATCATATATTTGCTTAATTTCACTCCCAAAAAATTGATAAAAATCTTACAAATCTAAAAAATTATATATTACCAAAGAGCAGCTTTAATTCGCTATTCTACTATATTATATGAATAAATATAATGAACACTCTTTGATGAAGCCATAAATACTTGGAAATGTTAGAATTATTGATTGATTTATGGTTCTACAATGACTTTAAAAAAGACAAACTTTCTTATACCAGTGCATAGATCTAACGACAAACAAGCTACATGTAGGTTCCAAATAATGCTAGCATCTCATATTATAAAGGCCTATATATTTACCTTCAGTATAAACAATAAAAAAGGCAATCTTATAATATTGCTTCTAGCAATGTCCAAATTTGCCTTGAGCATGATGTTAAGGACACACTTCAAACCAATATAGACCTACACAGGTAATATTGATGGCGTCTCATTTTTTGGTTTACATAAAAGCAATGCATAGTCATATTATAAAGGCCTATATATTTACCTTCAGTATAGACAATGAAAAAGACAATCTTATAATATTTCTTCTAGCAACACATAAATTTGCCTTGTGCATGATGTTAAGGACACACTTAGAGCCCATTTGGATCTTAATAGGTAATTTTGATGGCGTCTCATTTTTTTTGTTTACATAAAAGCTATGAATAGTCAAAACATAGGCCTATATATTTACCTGACAATAAAAATACAATCTTATTGTAGTGCTTCAAGTGACTAACAACCTTACCTTGAACAGGATGTCAAGGACACACTTCAAGCCCCTATAAAACTAGTGTCCCGTTTTTCCTTATTTACATAAGAAATGAAGTCATAATATACATATATTTACTTTGTGTATAGACTAGTACTTAACTGTGACCTACTAAAACGTAAAATAGCACTGACCGAAGGCTTATTTTACATCAGTATATAAATAAATCAAGTGTACTATATGCCCCAGGCAATTAGTGCGTTTAACCAACATCACTTTCAACATATATCATGGATTGGAAAATCTGTTTTTTTATAGATTTTTGTCATGGACAAACTTCTAGGCCTTGTTTCTAGGTCTAGATAGGCCTATTCTATGTATTCAAAACAAAGAGATTGCATAGACTAGTGTGTAGTTCAACTTTTACTAGAACTCGGGACTGACCTTAAACTAATCGCTCCCAACTGGACCCTATGATAATCTTGTTCAAGTAAAATTGTATGTTGTATTAAAAGGGAGTCATTTTCATTAAATTATTAATTAATTAAGCCTTTTTCAAAAACCAACTCTGGTGATAGATCTTTCGCAGCTGGTGCTCCGAAGTTATGGAATTCAATACTGTATCAAACGAAACCAAAAGTGCAAATTCTATTAAAGGTTTTAAAAAGTACCGTATTTCAAAACTGAACTTTTTAATCAAATATACAACTGATTGAATACGGTATAGCGGTGTGTGTGTCAGACTTTTACCATGTGTACTAAATAATGTTCTCCGTTTTTTGTTTATGTCTTTTATTATGGATAAATGTGTTGTGATTGTTGTAATTTTATATTAGTTGTACTAATGTAAAGTGCCCAAGAGCAACTCGCTGAGTTGAATTGTTGGCGCTATATAAATCAATTATTATTATTATTATTATCATATTATATGAAATTTGTACTGCCACTGGTCTGCCCTGTAAGACTAAGAGCCCATTTCTGACTTGGCAGATACTAATTAATTAGTAATACTAATCCCATTTGGAATTTAGAAGAAAATTCCAAATTGGATTAATATTATACCCCATGCCTTGGGATCATAACATGGGGTAATCCTGCCTTATGTAGACTAAGCCTAATCTCTGTAGTGTGGCGCAAAATTATCATTACAGACATCTCAAATGTACAATAACAAAGCCATCAAAACCGTTTTTATTCTTCTTAGGCTTGTTTGTTACCAAAATGAAAATATCTGCAATAATCAGATCTATTAACATATTTATTAATATTTGTTTCAAATAAATTGCCCTGAATGACAAGAAACATTAACGTCCCGGCCGATGGTCACATCAAGTTCAACCACTGTGGTTAAGTAATAGTAATAGGCCTACTATTAAAATTATCTCATCCGACATTATCACCGTGACACTTAACGCTGTTTTATGACCTACTTACAATTTATGAAGGTGAATTCCCATTCCTTGACATTTTATCGAATTGCTATCTTCTAAAAGCACACTGGTGATCCACAATCCAAATGATTTGTCAACAGGATCGTTGAGCTTTCAGATAATATGACGATATTGTCAATTACTGATCCACATCGGAGGACTACGTCCCCCTTCTCCGAGCTTTTGCCATATTATGGATACCACGTGACTAAATGTCAAGGTCCTCTGGAGGTTAAAGCATATTTATAGTTCGCCCTTTCTATTTAATGCTTTTCTGTTATTCTCTTTTTTTGTTACCTCTCTTTTAATAATATAGGTTGAGTTCTATAAGACACGCAACCTTTAAATTTTTCTATATCGGCTTCGTTTTAATTGCAGATATGTTATCGATCAAACCTCATTTTGCCGCGCGTGGAGGTGTGTCAACACGTGGCGAATCGTAGTTCAGAATTCCACGTGTTCTGAATTTTAATCTATTATTATGAATCAAATCTGGAATGGGCGTGACAAAAATGTCCATTAAAAGTTTTATTTTATCACGCAAAACTTTTTTCCAAAATTGGACCTAATGGACAAAGAACTCTAGCTATTTCTATTAGACATCAAATTCTACTTGGTCTAGCCTACAGGGCGCGTGTTCCATTGTAGTTCGCTCTATTGAGCATATGGAAAACAAATTTGAATCCAATTTCTTTTGAACTAAAATAGATTTGGGAATATAGCATAAGAGAGAGAGAGAGATTTAATTGAGAGAGAGAGAAATAAAATGAAATGAAATGGGGTTTAACGTCCTACGGTTCTGCTCCTATACTGGGCTAGACGGGCATACGCCATACAGTGTGCTATGAGGGAAATTTTGCCCGGGCAGCGACACTATCGCCTACTCTTATATCGAATTTCAACTGGCAAGGGATCTTTTACGTGCATTCTAATGTATACACGGGACCTTGGTTTTTTGTCTCATCCGAAGGACTAGACAGCTGTCCTTGTCAGGCCCTCCGTTCTGCACCACTGACAAGGGGAAACCACGTCGGAAGAGAGAGAGAGAGAGATGGGGTTTAACGTCCACTCGACAAAACTAGGTCATTTCGGGAGTAACATATGGTTTAACTTTATTTCAACAATTCGCTTGCGCGTAGGGTTCTTCAGCAGTGGGGGGAAATCGGAGTACCCGGAGAAAACCCACGAGGTTAGACAGGCAACACTACTCCTTGTTTCGTACGCCAGTTGACTCAATGACAGACCTTATGATACAGCGCACACACGCTAACCATTCGGTCACCCAACCCCCCATTTTAATTGAGAAGGCTAGGTCAATTGTAAGAAACATCAATATCTTAGATTAATTTCCGGTCAGCTGGGGAATTGGAGTAGAGCTACCTTTTATTTTGTAGAATTTAGTGATCGGTTATTGGGAGCCGTAAAAGTCATTTGCAACCGACTATGAACATCATCTTATAGTCTTGGGTTAAGAAATACCTTTCCAGAATGTTAGTAAACATATGAGCCACTCCAGGGACGGACTGGGGCCAGATACCATGAGTCTGGTGGGTGAAGTGCCCCCAGGGCTTTTTAGGGTATATCTTTATCTCAAGAGACGACTTTGTTTATATACCAATTCATAAAAAAACGAAGTAGATTCAAGGCTAAAAAGCCCCTCCCCCCAGCAACCCACGCAAGAACATAAACGTCTTTAGGGTCCCCAAAGCCTGCCATACTATCAGGCACCTTCTCAGCCCATGGGTTTCACACTAAAGGATTAGTTAAGATTCTATCTGTATAAAACCTGTACATATCCCTATATGGTTTACATTGCTAAAATAAAACACAGAGAGAATCATCCTGGAAACATGTGTGAAGTGAAAAGTAATCGTGTTCCATAAAACTGTCATTTGCAGACCCCCCCCCCCCCAATATATATTTCACGGCTACGCCTGTGTCTCAGCCAATCCCGAACACCCATTTCCACTTACTCCAGGACACCTTCACCCCTTACTAGAGCCAAATTGGCCGTACTACAGGCATATACGTCACTAACTAAAATACATGGATACCCTGGACCTGTGATTTTATTTTTCCCTTCCATTAGTGAACGTATGTTCAGAATATACGTTGCAGTGATATTAGTTCTAAAAATGATATTAATAATCAAACAAACAAACAAATTTCCAACTTCTGATACTGGATATGATAATACTGTTTATAATATGATATGAGATATATTTACATGGTAATTACATATCACATGATGCCGATAATGCAAGCTACGGTGATGAAGCACTTATAATTATATAGGGGGGTTGGATGGCCGAATGGTTAGCACGTGCTAAGGTTGTACGTGACAAGGAGTAAGGTCGCCTGTCCAACCTCGTGGGTTTTCTCCGGGTCCTCCGGTTTCCTCCCAATGCTAAAGACCCCTAAGCGGAAGCGAATTATTGAAATAAAATTAAACCATATGTTAGTCCCGAAATGATCTAGTTTGTGTCGAGTGGATGTTAAACCCCATCTCTCTCTCTCTCTCTAGATATTATAGATATTATATCTAATTTAATAAATTCTGTCATAAAGATTGGTTGGGTAATATAGTCTTAATGGGTTAGTACCCAGATACATCCCTACAAAATATTAGGTTGAATCAGTTCATACCTACCTGGCAAATTAGAAAAATATTTGTTTTAATAGAAAAATACTCAAAAAATGAGCTATTTTGGCACTAGATTTGGATATTCTGTTATTCGGACAATAAAGTTTTCAAGACGATCGATTAAGATTTGGGGACTGTAGGCGACACACGGACACGCAAAAAGAAAATGGGCGTAGCTCCGTCCCTGGGGGTTTGGCATGCCCTTAGAACAATAGTGATGATGCCTAGGGTATAAGGAATAAGTATGCAAAGTTTGACCACAAATAAAGCTAGTGGCCCTGATCGTATTAATAACAAAATATTAAGTAAAATTTTCAATCTTTGTCAGCAAAATGCAACTTTTCCCAACAAATGGAAAATGGCAAAGAATATTTAAGAAGGGCGATGCACATCATTGTTGTAACTATCGGCCTATATCCTTGTCTAGTACCTGAGTGTATTTATTCATAACTTTGTTCTCACTCATGATATATTAAAGCTGAACTCCGATTACAAAACTGCAGAAATAATTAAATAATTCCAATTTCTATAGAACTAACATGGGCGTTTGGTCGTGTGTGGCACAAAGGTCTACTACATAAACTAAATGCCATTTCATAAAGGGTAAATTAGTTTCACTCATCGAAAACTATTTACAAAATCGGAAACAGGCAGTTGTTCTTAATGGTGAATATTCCAAGTTAAAAACTGTATCTTCAGGAGTTCCCCATATTGTTGTTGTCAGGGCCCTTGCCAGTCCTTTGACTAGTGATCAGTTTTACGTTAGCAGCTATCTGTTTAAGTCTACCTCTGCGTTTAACGAATAACTTTTTAGTATAATACCCGTGAAAAATGACAATAATTAGGCGTGGTTCATCTCTGTAGTCAGAGGTGTGCCCCACGCGGTGGCTACGGTTAATATCGTTAAATCGTTGGTTTGGATGCCCACACAAATGAGCTCCCCAACGTGCTGGCCATAAATACTCTTAAGTATTGATATTGGTATAGTTATTGTCAAATACAGGTTTTCAAGGAAGAATTGTACAACTAGACAAGTCTGACACTTAGTAAATAAGACAAATAGGAGACTGGTCTTTACCCCAATGTTACCAAATTTCACTCCACACACGAAAAGTCCCTGTGAGCACATGGACAGTCAACAAACCGAATTTGATTTAACTATATTATCTATCACAATCCACATTAAACCCTGTCTATGCACAAAATATCACCATAGTCCCAAATAACTTGAAGATTTATTCCGGAGCAGAGCACAACACACTACCTTCCGACATCTTGCCTGTATCAGTAAGTCACTAATTTTAATTTAAGTGCGTGAGATATGTGAACCCAATCATTAGTTAATGATATAATATAATGCTATTATTAATTTAAAGGCAAAAAGTCTACAATAGTCTTACATTCCTCCCTTTCTTAAGATTTTTTGTCCAATATTAGGTAAAAGATCCCATGAAACTTTACAACGACCATACCAACATCTGTAGCTTTATATAAGTATTCATACATGTAGCACGGGTCTCGCCATCGATATTATATTACCCCCACTGTTTTAAGATTTGTGAGACATTATCAGGTAGGAGACCCTTAAAAACTCTCATTTACTAAACCATATAATTATATAACTATTCATGTAACATGCAAATATATACGATTATTATACGATAAACATACAAGATTACATATGATCAAAATGTGCTTCAATCTGTTTAAAGAAAACACAAATAAACAAAAATCAAAATAAAGTTCATCACTGCCCTTCAAAGTCCAATATAATAATTCACTTTAACCTGAACACAACTAAAATCTAAATGTCCGTTGATTCTTCGGGTGTTCTAATCTCTGAACACTATACTACTGCACTTTTAATTTAAAAAGTTCAGTTTTCACTTTAAATTCTGCAATTCATCATCTTGAATTTCCATTGGTCTGTTTCAGCTACCATAAGTCTCCACAATGTAAACTTTCTTTTTCTGCTAAATAAGAATTCTCAAGTTAATCACCAGGTCCCGACTTCTAAGAATTTTCAATCAGCACTTCTTTTGATGACTGGTTAGACGAATCAAAACATGTCATTGCCATCAGACCAAGAACTAACTATTCCTAATTTAAGATAATTATTTTAATATTAGTCTAACATTATTATTCCTAAAAATTATCATTAAATCTTACTCTTGAATCAAAATTAAACCTTCATTTATTTATTAATAAACATGGATGTGTATCTTTAATCTTCAGAATTCTAAAAAAAAACGTATTTTTTTAAAAAAAAATTATATATCTACAAACTTTGTCCTCTTGGCCTTAACTCGGTAATCTACAATTTAATAATTTCTCTTTTTTTATAATTCCGCCCAAACAATCATATTGTTATCTTACCATCAGTATCTAATATTTGGACCTAAACTATTTAGGAGATTAATACGGTGGCCCATATACGATTAAAGACTTCCTGTTTCATATTTAGAGTGGGTTTATTGTCCATTTAACCATGCTTGAGTCATTACAACACGAGACA